GATTTCTTCAGTTACATATTTGCGAGAAGGAAAGTGCATTGTACAGTACTTTTTGGAATTCCAAAGGAGTTTGTAGTATTTTTGGTTATTAATTGGGTTTAATAGTATAAAATGAATTAGTATATTTTTGTTAGGCATATATGAACTTTTCCCAATCTAATTCCTTTTCTATTTCACAGCTATTGCAAGTCCAATTTCAAAGCCCAACTAAGTGTCACTTTCCATTGATACAAATTTATTTGTGTAGCCAATGTTCTCTTTATTTCAATTCAAGCCCTTTAATTTCTCTTAATGTGAATATTAGTCTTCGAACTTCCATCCAATGGCTAATTTGTCCTTCATCCTTTTCTAATTGCTTCAAACGAGTCCATAACTAAAAACAAAAGAAAATTAACTCAAGTTAAGTAGAACTTAACGCTTATTACGACATTAAATCTTAGTAATTTGACCCGAATAAGTGCTCAAAATGCACTTGTCACATTTGCCTTGTTCTCCTCCTATTTAGAGGGAAAGCTTCTTCCGTCTCAAAGATAAATATGAGTCGAGATATAAGTGAATTAAAAGTTTGAAGTGGTTTTTTTCCTTATTGTGTTGGTAAAGACTGATTATCAACAAATTTTATCAAATTAATGGAATTTGAATTTAGAATGGAAAGCCATAATTTGAATAACACCATATATATGGGATGAATGAAAGAGAACTACTTTATGTACTAGTTGTTCTCCAGTTCTAGACTTTGCCCATATTTGGTTGAGATTATTATAAATTCTAGTTTGAAAGTGGAAATTTGAATTAAGAAACGCCGTCCAAAATTTAGAATGCTACAAGGCAGGACAACACGTCCTTCACGTGACCATTAATTACCAATTATACCTTTGTGCCTTGTATTCGACTCGCTAAATACTTCAACGTAATTCAAGGGCAAAGCGGTATTTTGATCAACTAATAGTTTGATGAATTTGGAAGAAAGTTGTCTTAGTGTCATAAGCTATCTTCCAGTAAAACTTATTTAATTAATTGAGGATCCCC